TAAAAGCATGACCTTTTTTTTTTTTTTTCCCTTTTGTTAAACTATCTCGCATTTATTTCGACCAATTTACTGCGGCCGTCAGATGACACGCCCTACTTCGTGATATCTTCTTTAAAAATTTCATTTTATATCTGATATTATGGGACGTCAGGTTCTCCAGAATCGCTTAATGATTAATGACACAACAGTCCATTTGTGACTTTTTGAAAATTATTTCATATTTTTATCCTGGGGTTACTTCAGTTACACTCTATAATCTGAAACGCACACAGACACACGCACACACAGATATATATATATATATATATATATATATATATATATATATATATATATATATATATATATATAAAAATATATACGTGTGTAAAAAAATAGCAATTTATTTGTAAAATGACAATATGAATAGATACAAAAATAGCCAACGCGTTTTTTGGTCTTCTGATAGACTTTAGCAAAGTATATATTTAAAGTCGATTGGTGGACTGAACGCGAATATCAGTTTGACTTTTTCTTTTAATCATTCATATATATATATATATATATATATATATATATATATATATATATATATATATATATATATATATGCCTGTGTGTGTGTGTTGAATATAGAGAAAAGTTTTTTGACTCTTCACAATTCATAAATTTCGACCAAATTCCAAAAAAATAAATTTGGATGGAGAGCCTTCATGGTCTGACCGAGTCCTTTTCAGATATATATATATAATGAAATGGACTAAGTCCGACAATTATTTTTAAGACATTTTTATGTTTATACATTCTTTTTATAGATACAAATATTTAAGTAAATGCTCTGTTTATAATAAACAGTATTAAACATTTACCGGCCTGAATGTTCGAGAAATATTCACAGAAAATCTTCGTCCTCCGACGAATAAACATATATATATATGTGTGTGTGTGTGTGTGTGTGTGTAAAAAATGAATGGATTTTTAATGCAATTTAATCTCCTATTACGATAAACTTTACATTTAATGTCTGATTAGACATCCCAGGATTTGATATTTTTTTGTAAGTCATATTTAATTTAATAAGATTTTCGCTTGCCTAAACTGATAGATATAAATTTTAATTTATAAAATAAAATACAGATTTTTCTTTTTTTTAAGAATTTCAATTCAAGCAAAGCAGGAGTGCCACTAGCACGCAGTGTGTTCCTCAGAGTAAAAGTTAGAGAAAAGAGTAGGTGTAGAGGGGGGGGGAATGAGGAAAGGAAAAAAGGACGGGCATCAAGGCAACACAAGATGGCGATTGACGTTTCATTTAAATTTTTGAAGATTGTAGTTATCTGGTTGAGTTGGATCTTTTCTAATTTATCTCTTTAGCTCTAAGTTGAAATGATGATCCCTCTTCCTGTTGTGACCTTCTGATCCAATTTTCCTCTCTACTCTACACTCTTTTTTAAACTTATTCACCGTTATCTTTGATGATTCTTGAATGAAGTTTGAAGATGGAAGCCAGACTATGAATGTTGGTACCATTACTGAATGCCTGAATGATCTTTTTCCTCCTAACATTGCTCTGTAGGGAAGACAGTAGTTCTGACACAAAACGATTTTAACCTGTTCTCTTTCTAGCTGAATAACTACTGAATAAGACTTTTTCAGTGATTCTTACGACAAATGGTCTCAAGATAGCTAAACGTCTTATCTGAAAACCTGGAAAAAAAACCTCGATTAGTTTAATGTTATTTAGATATTAAACATTTTCTGGGATGGACAATTATGCTGTTACATGATTTGAACAATTTTGTTGTTATATATATATATATATATATATATATATATATATATATATATATATATATATATATATATATTTTAAATAGGTTTGAAACGGTACAAAAAACTTATTAAGGCATTAAAAACTAGAAATGTAGTATATGTAGGCCATGATAAGTTTAAAATAAAACGGGGACGAAACCGGTCGACTGGTGTGTGTTTTATTTTAAACTTATCATGGCCTATAATAATACAATACATTTTTAATTTTTAATTTATATATATATATATATATATATATATATATATATATATATATATATATGTAATCGTTGCAGTGCTTGGATCGCAAATGTTAAAAAAACGTAATCAACACCAGATATGAGTTAGACAAGGCCAAATCTGGGGAATAGAGCGAGTGATCAACCAGTTCAAGGATACAGTAACACACAGCAGCCATTGAAACCAAGGACACTTGTACTGAAGGAATATTCTGATGAAAGAAGCAAATTTAAGTCAGTTTTCCAGGATGTTTGATTTGCAAGTTGGAATAGTATTCTCCATTTATAGCGTGGCACTTTTAAAGATAGCCAATAAACAAAACGCCTTAGTGCATCCCCAGAAACTGTGGCCATCTTCTTCCTTGCAGATGTAACGACTTTGTCCTGCTTTGAAGCAGTTGAGAAGGGTGTTTCCACTGAATTCCTTATTTATTTGCTTTTGGCTCAAAGTAATGAACTCAAAAGTCTTGTGCTGGGAAATCATCTGGGCAAGGAAACTAGCTGATCTGTCTCAGCCTGGTGCACTTTTGATCAGGTGTCATAAGTCGTGGCACCCACATAGCAGGAAACTTTTGTCATGCAAAGTTCATTGTGCAGAATGTTCTCAACCATGTGATGAACACGATAAATGTTTTCCTCGATGGTGGCAGTTGTTGGACATCCATTCCTTGGGTCATCTTCTAGACTCTCCGTTCTCTTCTTAAATTCAGCTGCCCACTTTTGCGCTGTTGATGAAGATGAAGTGTTATTCCCTAATATCTCAAACAAGTCAGCGTGAATGTCCTTGGGGCTAAATCCTTTTTCAGCAGGTACTTGATAAAAACACGATGACAAATTTTGTCCATTTTCAAGAGGTCGCTACTAGTTACTTTTGAAGTCTTCTTTCAACAGTCTAATGTCAGTTTACCTGGAAAGAAACAACGCAGTTCTTAATAAGAAGAGTTGAAATAAATAATTGTGAAGACCACAAAATGCCTTAATTCAAAGTCTGATACGACAAAAGTAAGCGAGTAATATTCAACAATTTTTTTTAATTAATAAATAAATATTAAAAAAATTCTCCAATATTACTCGCTTACTTTTGTCTCACTAGATTTTGAATTATGGCACTTTGTGTCCTCCACATGTTTTGACTGTCTTTTCAACCATCTGATGAATATTCATGAACGTTCTCAACTTTAAACGCCTTCCTAAACCAATGACATCCTTGCTCATGTATATAAACACATGTAATAAAATAAATCCGATATTTGTCTTGATAAAGTCACTCGGCTAAGAATAGTCTTTTTACCCATTTTGTCTTTTACAGATATCTACAATACAGATATCTGAAAATATTTATTCGTCACACACACATATATATATATATATATATATATATATATATATATATGTGTGTGTGTGTGTGTGTGTGTGTGTGTGTGTGTGTGTGTCAAGGTCACTGTATTCGAGTGGCCCAGTCTACTAGGGTGGACGCTTTCGCAGGCGCATTTATGTTAATTCAACACCCACCTGTGATTTATACTGCAACTATGCTGAGCAGCCCTTAGTTACAGGGAAAGAGCGTGTTATCTAGCGTGATCGACAATTTGAACAAGGCCAGCACGCTCAAGCCCTCGGCCACGATGACGTGTGACTTCGTGCTAGCACAGTTATCGACAGCACCTAAGGGTTCCGCATACCCAATTTCACTCACAAGGCTTGGGTCATTCACAAGGCTAGGATCCACCCTCCAATTCAATAACATCGAGAAATCTCCTTCCCTATATATATATATATATATATATATATATATATATATATATATATATATATATATATATATATAATATAAAAGACATGAGATTCATCAGAAACATAAAAAATTTAGTTGGGCTAATTTCACATGTAAAAGAAATTCAACCGTATTAATAATTGTTTCATCGCATTGATCAATTTTTTCATTAATATTTGCCTTATTTTCTTACGAATTTCAACTCTGGAGTCAGTGTCTTACTCCTTTCAACATTGTCACGACAAAATATCGCTTTTCCATCTCAGATCCGATGATTTCTTGCTCGTGAGATTTTTGCATATTGTAATGTATTCAACAATATGCAGACGGAAACCGCAGTAACTGTAAAAACCTATTTTCATTGGTTAAATTTCAAAATAAACTTATATAAGCTCGGACGAAATGATCCGATTTCTGCAGATTCAATAGAAAGCGAGATGTTAGCTAACCAGAATGTGATTGCTCCTGGTTGTCGCCTGAATTTTATGAAATGACCGAAGAGTTAAACAGTATGAACTTGCAAATAGCGAGAGAAAGAGAAAGAGAGAGAGGGGGGGAGTGACAACGTCAACATAACAAAAGGTTCAGAAACTGATGTTTAAATGTTATTTTCTTAGCTATAGTCTGTCTTGAGTTTCATCTTTTTTTGAAGAATGTGTAAAATATTAGTAGTATAATGGAGACTTAACGCTGCCTGTGTCTAAAACAGTCTAAGAGGAAAGGACACAAACTGTGTCCCTTTTTTTCCCTCTTTATCAATGGGAAGCCATGGTGACAACATGTGTTGCATTTCGCCTCTAGATAAACTACGTGTCGCATGCGACAGACCATGCTATCTCGTGTCTGAAAATGCATCATGGGATAACAATATCTCCACTACAACGTACTCTCGTAAATATATAGCTCTCTCTGAGGAAAAAAAATCTCAGTTCAACAAACGAAACACTGTAAGAAACTGATTATTTCCGTAATGAAGTGATAATAAAATGTGACAACCTTATTCCGTTTTATTGCCTTGTTTTCGTTTTTTGTATTATTTTGAGATGATAAACCATTGTTATGTTTTGTAAATTTAGTAAATATATGCTGAATTCATTTATTTTGAGAGTGTAAAGATTTTCAAGCGAATACCGTAAAAACATCTATCCCGTGCATTTTCTAAATATCAACTTCTTTCTAAAGCAAGTATGATTTCTTACCGTAGTTCAGGTGCGACAGCGGAAGACATAGGCTGGACAAGAAATACATCTTGTTGCTTTAAGAAATGGCGATTACCCTCAAGCAATACCTGCAAAGAATATTAGAATAGATTTCTTTAAATTTAAAAAAAAATAAGGTATGAAACAAGGACATTAAAAATTGAAATAGGAGACTTCTTTCCATAATAGCGACAATGACATTCTTTCAATAATGGCGACAATGACATCGAGATTAGTTACTCGCCTTAGATGATTACAGTATTAACAAGATTACAGAAATAATAAATGAAATATACAACATACCGTTCCAGTAAGTACCTGACTCCTCATGATATCCTCACCTTTACAAGAGCCCGATCAGGCCGAAAATTGAGTACTGTTGCCATATTTGGGAAGATGCTGCCCAGACCTTACTTTCTAGTCCTGTTGTAGTTCAAAAGCGTCTGCGAGTTCTTGTGAGAGAAGAATTATTTCTTACACTTCAACCTCTCTCTCTCCCCCCCCTCTCTCTCTCCCCCTCTCCCCTCTCTCTCTCTCTCTCAAGCGTGATGTGGCGAGTCTCTCACTGCTCTATCTTTCTACAATAAAAAGTGGCCGGATGAACTGTATCTCCTCGTTCCACAAGGACTGGTCTTCACGGCTAGGGCTCGCCATGACCCCTACATAGTAACAACCCCCCATCATTCCCTCCGTATCCCATCGCCAAGAAGTAAGTTCCACTGAAACATCGCCTTCTCGCGAACCTATGGAACAGACTCTCTGGAGAATGTTTCCCCGGACTTGTACACGGTGAACCTTACTGTAAAAAAATAAGTGTTGGCATGCTGGAAGACCTTCGTACAGAAGCCAAGCGAAAATGAATGCGAGCTCCAGCAGACAATCAATATAATAAGCGCAATATCAAAAGTTATCATGCGAATTCTAATGAATGGAACACGTAACCGTATTAACACTAGAACACTAAGCATGTATATATAGTACCCAGCGCAAATTTTCTTCTTTTTAATTACAATTTTCAGTACCTGATTTTCTTACCTAAATAATATGTTTTTCAGTTCCTATTAATCTTAACTCAAAGGACAAAGTTTGAAGTACCTGCATGTAAAAACATTTCAAAGATTTATATTTAACATTTTTTTGATATTTTCAAAATCGGATACGATATACCCATGATTAGTAGCAGTGTAACTTTAATTGATGGTTAGTGTTCTTGGGTTAAACTGGAAACAGAGCAAAAACAGTGCGGCTTCGTTAAAGGTTCTCGAATAAAAAAATCCGATATTTATTCTCAGAATGCTACCAGAAGGAACAATACGAATTTAGAAGAATAAATACCGATGTATTACACATAATGCAAAAACGTGTGATAAGATAGGACAAAAAGGACTGCTGTAAATGCCAAAAAAGCTTGGGAAAACATTCAGTAAATACAGAAAGATGGGAAGAGGCGTAAGACAAGAATGCATCTTCTCGCCAGACTTATTCAACGTTTACAGCGAGGCGATCCTGCGTGAACTAAAATCCTACCAGGATTCATTATTGGTTGTCATAATATAATCAACGTAAGATACGCAGATTACACAGTGTTTATAGAAGACACAGAAAAGAAACTACAGGAACTCTTAGAGAATGCAATAAGAGGACAGAATATTAGCCAGGGCATGCCATCGATTGTAAAAAGACAGAACGTATGGTTGTCAGCAAGAGGAACATTACAAGACGCGAACCACGAATTAGAGACCAAAATCAAGCAACCACAATAAATAAATAGCTGATAAATGTTTTTAACAGAAAACGGAAAATATGACACTATATGAAAAGGCAAATTGGAACTGCAAAAGAAACCTTCGAACACGAATACAAAACACTTTAAAAAATGTATAAGTGACCAAAAGTGATTGGGACAATGAAAATTCTAGAGAATATTTATACTCTCTTACTCCTACTAATAAATGGGAATATTATTTTTTTTTTTTTCCCACCCTTTCATTTTTCCTTCTTCCTCCTCATTATGGGATAAAGAAATGATAAACTAAGATCTGCAAAAAAAGAAGAAGAAGAAGAAGAAGAAGAAGAAGAAGAAGAAGAAGAAGAAAGAGGGGCAAAACTAAAATTATTCCCAATTTTTCAATAGGAGTAAAAGGGTACAAAGGTTTTCTAGAATTTTCATTGTCGCAAGCGCTTTTGGCCACTTATTTAACCATTTTCAAGATGGTTTTCTATTCGTGTTCAAAACAACACAAAAATAAAATACAAATTAAACAGTCAAAACATGAAGACAAACTAACATCAAAAACAAAACCCAGCGAAAATGTCTAAAGAATTGGCCGAAAGTGCTTTGGACAATGAAAATTATGGAAAATTTATGAACACCCTTACTCCTACCAAACAGAAACGTAAGGATGCCGGGAAAAAAAAAAAAAAGAAATAAAAAATTAATTAAATCTTTATTGTCTACCATATTTAACGAATTTTCCGTTTGTTCAATAACCACAGAGCCCATCTGAGGTTTATACTGCGTCTAAAATTGAAACAAAAACGATAGTTATTTATAACATCGGATAGAGTCAGTTCAAATCCCTAAGGCACATAATGAGGATGAAGGCTTGAGATATTTGATACTCACAGGGCAGATTTGAAGACAAGAGGGATAAATGAAAACAACGCATAGCGAGATTCCGTAAATGCATGACAGAAAAAGATTTAGGAGAGATAATATAAATGACAAAATGAGCTACAAAGGACTGGAAATTATGGAGAGCCGTGATTTCCAACGTCCTGAAGGGACACGGCACATAGGTAAAGATACTGAGCAGACCTGATTCATAGTTTGATGAATAGTTTTCACAAGGAGTGCACGCTCAAAACCTCTGTCACGATGACTTGTAATTTCATGCTGATATAAACTAACGATGGCCTTCAAACATTTCCGTCTACCGAAGCTCCCTCTCAATCCATTGATCAAACCAACGCATGGTATCCATGAATTTGCCTGGAATAAGTCATTATCCTGGCAAATCAACCCTGGTGAGATCCGAACCGGAGTCTTATAGTCGGAACTACACTACCATTTATTATGGCAGAACGAGCGGCAACAGTTGTAAATTGTGCCAAGAAGAGAAGTTAGCTTTTGTTACTTATCCGCATATTAAATGAAAGGTCGGAAATAATGTCTAAATGTCGATATTTTAATAAATACATTTTAGGCCTTTACAAACCCGGATGAAGTTTAGCTGTAGGGAGTGGAAGGCAGAAAAAAAATAAGGGAAAAAGAGAAAGGAGGTAACGAAAAGGAAAAAGAGAAGTGTGTTGTTTTTGTTTTTTCTTTTTTCTTTTGTTTTTTTCTTTTGTTTTTCTTTCTCGCTATTTTTGCCGTAGCCCTTCTCCTTCGGTGAACTTTCCGGTAGCAATATCTGCTTAAATACAAGTTGCGAAGCGTTGAATAATGTAATTTGCCTCATCACCTGATACCTTGTGGTTGAAATACGGGTAGTGAATAAGATAAACATTTTATTCTTTCCATGATATTATTCCACTCTACACGTTCTATTCTGAACGGTGTGTTTAGCACTTTTTTTTAAATATCCGTGTTTGCCCTGGAATTGTTCCTGCCTAGCATATATATATATATATATATATATATATATATATATATATATATTATGACACCTTCCAAAAAAAAAGAAGGAAAACATCTATAGTAACTGTGTCCGATATATATATATATATATATATATATATATATATATATATATATATATATATCTAATGACCAATTGGGAAAAAGGTTTGTGACGAGTTTCATCCGTTAGGATTTCGTATGATTATTTGTCATACTATTTTTCGAAATACTTTCTGTTGATGTATAAAATTATACAAATTATATATATATATATATATATATATATATATATATATATTATTTATTTAAAAATATGATTCCATCGCTACATAAGAGTTCTCATGTTTCAAAAACAAGAGCCGCTTTTTTTTAAATAATTGGTCTCGCTGTTACCATAGTAATTTTTATTTTAATAATGAATATGCTTATAAAAAACGCGTAAATTTCAAGAATTAGTTATTCCAAAAAAAATTTCGCTTGAAGATGGAATTATTTACCTAACGAGTTCTTTCCTATTTTCTCTATATTTTCACACACACACACACACACACACACACACACACACACACACACACACACACATATATATATATATATATATATATATATATATATATATATATATATATATTATCCTATCAAATAAATGAATATATGAATACAAATAAATATTTTCATAAAACAGCAAACTCGGTACATTAGTTGTTTACCGTGATAAGTCTGATCGTAATTTTGATTTAAAAAATGATACTTTAATTGAAAGAGAAATTAATTCACTAAGAGGAAAATATATAGAAAGTGCTTTAATCATTCGATCCTCCACAGTAAATTTATGTCCAGGTTTTTACAACATTTCACCTTTCTTGGCAGATCTTTAAATATCACAATTTGGGATATTTAATAACAAATGCGATAGGAACTAAAAGAAAAAAAATTGAATGACCATAGACCCAAAACAGTTCTGTCCTGGGTATGTCGATAAACTACATCCGATAACAAGGCCTCTGATCGGGAGATTTTAACGAACATAAAACCACCTAGTAATTGCTAGTGTTCCCAGGTCCACCCTGACCCGGGGTGGTAGCACCTGTCAGGGTCGCAGCTATGGGGAAAATAGTTAACCCATCATCCTGTCCGCGTCCTGGGTAAGACGATAAACTACATCAGACAACAAGGCCTCTGATTAGCAGGTTTCGAGGAGCATGGAACCACCTCTTAATTGTTGTTGTTCCCATGTCCACCCTGACCTGGGGTGGTAACACCTGGTAAGGTACCATCTATGGACAAACAGTTAATCCCCAAACTGGGGTCAAAACTCTATGAAAGTGTAAAAAAAAGGTTTTAGTACCAGCAATACATTTTTATTAAAAAAAAAAAAAATTACCAGCAATGAATTTTTGAAGAAAAAATTTAACCAGCAATACAGTATTACCAGAAATACATTTTTGGCAAAAAAATATTACCAGCAATATATTTTTGGAAAAAAATATTACCAGCAATATATTTTTGGAAAAAATATTACCAACAATACATTTTTTTTTGCAAAAAATTACCAGCAATACATTTTTGGTAAAAAAATATTACCAGCAATACATTTTTGAAGAAAAAATATTACCAGCAATACATTTTTGGAAAAATATTACCTGAAATACATTTTTAGAAAAAATTACCAGCAATACATTTTTTGGAAAAAAATATGATCAGCAATAAAAATCTTGTCGGCATTAAATAACCCATTTAGGTTGATATTCTGTCAAACAAACCAAACCAAACCAAACCAAAGCAGATAATCGTATAAAAAAATTATTTAAAATTTCAGTGCCTTCTCTCATTAATAGACATGTGTCATCACATCAACATAAAGATCACTTTAATCCGATGAAGTTTTCATGGACGCAACACGTCACACAAAACATTTCCCACTTTGTCAGATATTTTCCTAAAACTGTTCTTGATATGCAAAAGTTTACATATCGTTTTCCCATTGGCCCCGTTTATGAAAGATGACAACAAACTTTAATCTTTGCTCACAAATGTAAATCATAAGTGATGCTTATTATATTCCCTGATTGCATTTGACTTAAAATGTCATCAAGAACATTGAGATACGTATTTTATATTCATTCCCGCAACATTCATCCGCTATAAAAGGCTATGTTATATCCATTTATATTCCACATTTAATTGTGTAGTTAATACAGTAACATGGCAGAACTACAAAGAAGCGTAATCGTTCTGATTAAAGGACGCATATCTTATTACTTAGCACGCCGGGTTAGTTTTTATCATTTCTCAGTTGCGTCATTGTCTTCCGGGAAAGTACGACTCAGTTGCGGCTCTGTTGAAGGACAGAGGCGCAACTGAGGAAAATCACACTGTGAGGTGCCCAGCCCTGGGAAACTGATACCCAAGGTTGCACTCTTTCATTGCACTAGAGATCGGTGTTCGCCTCTAGGCCAACGCAACCGACAGTTGCGGGGGCTTGGGGAATTTTTGTTCTTGTCACGAGTGTAGGCGCTCAAATTCCTCACATTAAACACGACCTTTTGTCACAGCGCGTTTCAGTGGGGAACCAAGGTAAATATTCATATTTCATATTCAGTAACATTGACGTGATTAAGTCAAGGTACGTCGAGAATAATGTGACCAAACTAGTATACGCTGACATGCATAGATGTGGGTTCAGCTCGGAGACATACATAAATAAATGCAATCAGAAAAGCATTTGATAAGCATTAGTTTCCCTGCTTCTTGACCGTTAAGTTGGAGGTTGTCGAATAATTTAAATAGACATTTTTCATTGTTTGACTGCGGTTTTGAGTAGATATCACTTTATATAAACTTATAATATTTTAAGAATACTTACGGGACAATTCAATATTTCTCTTCTCAAGCGGACTAATTCTTCTTCTCTTTGCAATCTGAGCTTTGTCTGAAGATAAAGATACGAGTAAAAGTATGGAGTTTGCATATACATTTATGATAGGTATCTTCAATACTTCGCTAAAAGAGGGCATACCATTATGAAAAAAGGCTCCAAACTTGATAAACAATTTTTTTTTATCGTCTAAATGTTTATTTTATTATTAAGAGGAAAGACCAAAGTATTTTTTGATTATTTTTTACATTTTTAATCCTTCCTAGCACGTCCCAATTTTAGTTAAAACATCTTGTTTTTTGGGTTTTTTTTTTTTTTTGAGTCAGCAAAATTGCCATGAATCGATCATATCAGCCATTTTGACAATTTTGTAAACAAAAGTAAAATTTTCCGTTTAAAAATCTTGTAAATTCAATTATACTTTTTTTCAAAAGTTATTTAAGGAAAATTATCAAATTTAAAGTTAACTTAATGTAATTGAAACAAATATTACTTAATTTTTAGAAGAAAAAAATAGTTAAAAACAAGTGAAGCATGTCTAACCATGGTTGTTGGTTTTGGAAGTGTGAATTGACATTTACGTCAATGTATCAAAAACTAACGGGAGGACCATTTATTGGACGGAAAGACAGAAGTGACAGTATTTTCGAATTTTAAGTGAATCAGTATATTTAACTATAAAGTAATTTTAAAAAATTAAATACTTTCAAAAGTCTATTTTATTGTTTTTTAGGTACATTTTTTTAAAGATATGTCCAAAACCTGCACTGTTTCCATCCCTAAAAAAGAAAATAATTAATAATTGCATAATGCCTCTCAGTGAAAAACAATAAATTAATTATATTTTAAAAAAATTAAATTAAAATATCTAATGAAATAGGATGTAAAAAAACAAAATTAAAACTTTTGGAAATGCGTCGATGATGGTCAAGTCAGAGAATTTGATACGTTCTAGCCAGAAGGAAAGCAAAACAATTTCTTAAGGCATTTCTCTTCAAATAAGTGACCTATTATTTCTGAACTGTGCATTCATAGTTTTGGAGAAAACGTTTTTAATACATTTTTTTGCATATGAAAAAATATTTTAAAAGTATTAGAAATTCGGAGATTGTAATAAGCCTTCAAATTTATGATATGTAAAAATAGATATTTTTAATAACAGCAATTTCAAAAGGATAGGGATTCAAGCTTAATTTTAAAATATTTAACAAATTTATCACATTTTATATTTATAATTGAAAAAAAGAAAACAATTCTTTTAAAAAATTATTTTTTATGGGAAAAATATTTTGGCTTCAGACAAATAGTGTCCTTAATAGATATCATTCATAAAACTCATTAAAATCTTTTTTTTTTAATTAAATCATGTCTTAGTTTTATTGGGTTTCGTATTTTACAATTCAGAGCTGAATTTTTTGCGGGGGGATATTTTTTCGGTTCATGAACGAAAGTGAGTTTGTTGTATGAGGATCTGTAAGTTAAATAATTTGACCCTCTTGTGTTTCTTACCTTTTGAAATTGTGAGACTGGATTGGCGATAAGGACTTTTTTTATCGCATTTGTTGTTTTTAGATATTTGTTAATAGAACCATCAATTAAAGAAAAATAATCAGTACTAAGAAAAAATAAAGTATCCTCGTATTTGAAGATGGGAAGAGAAAATGCTTCTTTCGTCTTAATATTTCTCCACATTATCAATAACACAGTCTCATCTATTTGGCAAATTGCTGATTCTAGGTCGTAAAAAATTATTCAAGTCCCAATATAAAGAAACATTCAATATCAGTTTTAATCCCTTCACAATTAATAAACTGTTCACCTAAAGTAAAATGTTTCAATGATGTGAAAAGGTGATAGATGGAGCAAGGTCAGGAGAGTACAGAGGAGGATACAAAACTTCCATATTTAGTATAATAATAATTTCCTGTATAACTTGGACAATATGTGTTCTTGAATTATCGTCCAAGAGTAACAGGAATAGGACGTTCCTGTATAGCCTATCTGGCGTCGATGATTCGGTGTAGTCGATTCGACATAGAGATTTTCGTCAGAGGGACGTTTAGGCGTCAGATTACGTCGAAATGCGAGAAAGACCCCTATTTTTGATCCTGGGATATGGAACCTTTATGAACGAACTCTAAATGATAAAGATCAAACCAACAATTACGCCGAAGCTGCCAATCGACGTTTGCAATATAAGCTAGGAATGCATCATCCTTGAATCTGGAAATTTATTGATGCCTTACGGAAATTTCAGAAAGGACGTGAGGCATTTCTCGAAAAGTTGATCGCTGGATACCCCACCCCAAACCTAAATGATATAGAGATGCTGACGAACGAATCAAAAAAGTCATAATGGAAATTGAATCATTAGATCCTCTTGAGTTCCTGAAGGGTGTTGCTCATGTTTACGAAATGAAGAAGTAATTTCTAAGATTAAATAACGTTTTTCTTAAAAAAATTTTAAATAGTATATTTTTAATTTAGGTTTTTTAATTTACATTATTCCATTAATGTTTTAACACGACCTTTAATTCCCTAAATGAATAAAAAGTCATGGTGAAAGTTGGGTGTTTTCAATGCTTTTATTCTTTTGTTTGGGGGCGGGGTGCCTCCGGTCAAAACAGTGACGGCGAAACAGTCTGACGCCTAAACGGCTGTGCCAAATAGTGCAATTATTTTTCTGACGCCGAATCAGCCATGCCAAATGGGCTACGCCGAAACATACCAAACTCAAGAGTAACATACCTTTATGATTAACAAATTATGGCTTCTTTTTATGCATTTATTTCAACAATATTTCTTCAAATCAACTGTTTCATTTTGGTTGAGTACTTCATGATAAAAGACACCTTCATATCACACCAAACACAAAGCATAACCTTTTTCAGGTGTAGTCCTGGTTTGTAGGGGAATGATTATAAAGAACCTACTTTTTATCATTTACGATGATTCTTCTCAAGAAAGGTACAGTGGCAAGTCTACTCGTCACTGATAAGTAAATAGCAAAGATTTCATTAAGTTTAGAAGCAGTCAGATAATGAGGGCAGCGTTGACCAAGTTTAAACACATTTCCGATGCCCTAAAAGTCTTTATGATTGAAGTGTCATTTTTATTGAAATGTTTTGCTAATCTCCTTTTGCGGTTTACAGTTTTGACAGAACTTAGTCGTTCCAGATTGTGGTGAATCTTCAAAAGAAATAATTCCCGATCAAAACTGGACATGTCCTCGATGGTAAATCTAATCACTTAAAGCTTAATTTCAATAACCATAATGAATATTTCTGATTATAGTAATAAAGCATATACAATAAATATTCTTTTTCTTCGAATTTCTTTCAACAGCTGACTATACCCACACATGTTTGAGTAGATATCACTATTTTTAAACAATGCAATTGACATCTACAAGCCACTTTTAAGAAAGAAATCGCGTCCTCACTGTCCTGTTTCAGATCTGGTCGTTGACTGTGGCTGGCGAATCGTTTTTATGGCTTATAGCGAATCAGTGACCGATTCACGAATCCTGTTTTGCGCGGGAATGTACTTATAACCCAAGCCCTAAACTATTTCCATGTCATTTGAGGCTCAACCGCGCAGACGACGTAGAGAGCACATCACGTGACTTGTCATATCCAATCAGGTTCCCGAAAACATTTATTTCATTTTGAAGCATTGTTTGTACACAATTGTAAAAAGGTTTTTCGTATCTATTGAATTTAGTAAGATCTATTTGAAGGCATCTCTTACTTGTTTGTTCTTATTGGCCGTAAAATATAGGAGTTTATATTGTGGAATCTTCCACATTAGATTTCCACCCTTTTCGGAAAAGATGTATTCTTCCCTAAAAAAAAAAGCCTTAACTAATCACCACTTCGTTTCAGGAAATTCAGTCTTCAATTGGTTAAGAAACGCTAAACTGTAACAAAGTCGAAACAGATCCTTTTTTCCCCACTGAAGCTCCCTGGGGCCAATTTTTAAACACCAAATTCTATATAAACAATCGCATGACTCAGTTCAAGTCAGTCAGTCATCGAGTTTCGTGAGATGCTACTAAACTCCACGTGTGTCAATTCACTGACCCAACATCATTTCAAAATTCTCAACAAACTCAATACAGTACTCAATCGGCCATTGTCCGTGTGGTAATCAAATTAAAATTGACTTAAAAAGTGAACGTTTTCATTACACAATCAGTAATTGTACAATTCATCAATTTAGCCAAACAATTAAAGGCAAACAACTCTTCACAACTTAAATTCTAACTAACAAGTAACACACCCATACACACTATTATTTGAACGAACACATTTGAGATTTTTCGTTGCAGAAACCAAATTATTTTAATTCCACTAACAAATCAAATCCATTAACTTTTATTGACCAAATTTCTGCATGAACATTTTTCATAACCTTGTCTCAGTTGCTACAATCAACAAACATTCTGTTATCCTTGGATGTATAGCTATTGTATATATAAAAATCTCTTTATTGTTGGATATCTAACCACTGTGTTTTTAGTAATTTCTTGCAATGAAAAATTGTCCTTATATTCTTTATTTGATCTACGTATTGTGGGATAATGCATAATAAGCACGCATAATCTTTGCGTTACATAAATTACCTTCTGATACATTTTCACTCAGCTACAATCTGCAACAATATCCTATAGATGCATCTACAACTTCTATGCTAACAATTTCTTTTCTCGCCCTTGTGGAACTCTCTTACGGCTTCTCGCTTTCTTGTCAGCTACGATATTCAAAAATTCAAATCATTGATCTTTTCTTTCCTCGAAATCTGGTCTTTTATTGTCCTCTCTCCTTCTTTCACTCTCAGTAACCACTTGCATCTTAGCGACTTTATCGCCTTTCTTTGGGGTGAAATGATTAAAATTATATATACACATACCTGAGAGACATAGGTGTTCAGTTGCGAGAAGCTGTCTATTACAGAACTGAGGTCATCCCTGTCCGGATGGTTGTAGGGTGTATAAACTTGAAACCAAGACAGTAGGGTTACGTATTCTCTTATTCTTTCAAAGGGAGAAAATAACACTTCCTGTAGCCTGAAGAATGAAAAAAAAAACATAGTTCATTTTGGATATGCATTATTTTACAATTGTACTATTTCGCCAAATATCGCTGCACTGCATGCTTGTGTTTACGCAATAAATAATCACTTTTCAAGTTGTTCATTTTTAACGTTCTAAATAATGTTCACATCACAAATACTGAATTATCTCCCTTATATTTCTCTTGCATCGCTGCCGGTATATTGTGGAACAGGCTCCCTCGTGGATGCTTTGCAGAACATTACAATCGTAACATCTTCAAATCTAGGGTCAAGAGTTCAGATATAAAATTCCGATATAAAACTTCTGATTTTTCGTTGTCGGGACGACATGAAGAATCGATTTAACGCTTTCGGTGAAGGCAGTTTTTGTGATAAATGACATTCACTGTCATGAGTGCCACCCAAAAGGTATAAGTGATGAAACGAAAATAAGAGCAACAAAAGTGGTACGAGCCAAGAAGTATTATCATTGTAGATGAAAGAAAATATATTCGTTTTTTGTCTTGTTTTGTTTTTAAATCATTCCATTCCAATAAAGCCACTAAGACGCAGGAACTTTCTGAGACTGAGAGAACATGAGAAAGAGAAAGCATTATTAAGGAGAGAGAACAGTAAAAGAAAGGATATGTTTAATCAATTCTCCCCAAATAAGGCGATAATGCCATTAGATGCAAGGAGCAAAAAAAAAACTTAAGAAGGAACCGGAAATCCAAACACAAACAGAAACAAGGAATAAAACACTAATCCTATTTAAAAGACCAGGGACGAGTGTAAACCGGGCGATAGGCGAACGTATCTACTCCTATTGAGGAAAAATAATTAGTATATTTGGATTTAACTTAAAATATCTAAAAATCTTTCATCCCGACTTGATATAAGAAAGGTAACTCTGGTAACTAACTGTATGAGTTATTTCCCCTGATGATAACCGCATGAAGCAAAATATATTTTCTAAATAAGTATTTGCTTAGTACCCTTTTTAACTCATTACCTATCAAACTTACATCGTAGATCTATTTTTTCATGTAGTAGGTTCTCCATATTTAATGGTCTTGCGCCACCCTACGCTCCACTTAGTAAATAACTATAAAATAAATTTCTTGCAATATAAGAATTAAATTTTAAATGAAATAATGTTTTTGAAAAAGATGATAAATTTTCAGCATGTTTGCTAAATTATAATTCAACAGGAGATTTTGTTATTTTTTTATCCTGATGTAAAGAATGTTTTACATCCAATTTTTCTAAGTATTATCTGAAAACATGAAAGGAAGCAAAAAATCAGAGATAAACATTTATTGATTGTTTTTAACATGATACTATAATGATAGAAAAATAAATAATAACAAGGAGACCAAAATTTTTCCATCCCTAAAAATAGATGAATATTCAGAATCACCAGGCCACAAAGCCATATTTCGACCAACCAATTTCTCAACAAGGATATAAGGACATGAGCCAGTCTGAAGCAAGATGGCATTTTCAAAGCAGATCACTGAATATGTATATAAGGAGATATTGAAAATCAACGTAAATAAGAATCAGTAAGTAAATTTTGTAGATTTTCTGATGATGCAGTCATAATAACATAACCAGAGACAAACTGCAACATTTAAAAAACAAACTGGTAATGTGTACAAAGTTCTGCTATATTTGAAAACATGCATACCTTCCTTCATCAACATTGTTAACCAATTGAGTTCTATATTTGGATACATACATACACATATATTTCCTTTTTCCCAGTCACTTTCTCTCTCTATGCACCAGGACTTTTAGACTTGAACTCTTGAAACTTCAATTTTCACCTTATTTTCTTAATCTCTGTATTATTATATTGTGTTATATAACAATTTATTTTGTATTTTTGAACAGTCTATGCATTTTCTTTTGATTATTACACTAGGCCAATATACAGTCAACTAAATATAGCAATATTTGGTAGGAACAGACATTGTCATAAGACAACCTTTCCACAATCCTTCATAATATTATCATGTCAGGTCACTCTTTAATACACCATCACCCAAAAGTCCACAAAAATGATTTTTGAATGTAATTGAGGCTGTAAAGTGGGATTGAGTAAATCCAACCAAAATAAGGCAATAATTCTACATTTTGAGTCCAAGTTGACTTTTGTAAATATACAACTTATTTGAATCATACTATTTTTAATCATTTCACCCCTAGCAAGGTAGTGAAGCCACTAAGATGCAAGAGGTTACCGGGTGTTAGAGAATATGAAAAAAATATATTATTAAGGAGAAAGGAAAATGAAAGAACAATAATTAAGAAGACAAGATAATGATTGACATTGCATTTAAGTTTTTGAAGATCACAGTTGACGGACAAGCAATAAAACAGAAGAGACTTTCACAAGTGAGAAGTGCAAGAGAAGAAACTGTTAGCATAGAACTTACAGTTGCATCTAGCCATTTCAACAGTAAAATGATAGATAGGTATTTGTCATATAGGAAGAAAATGAGTAACTACCAACATTGAGGTTCAAGAATGACACTCTAGACTTATGTGTATAAATAATGATGTCAGGCTACTGACTGGAGTGATTATTGAGTAAGTATTGAGTGGAACTATCCAGTAGAATTAGTGTGAATTATTGTGCATTGGTGATTTGGGTTTTGTTTTAGGATTTACCGGATGTTAAACTTAGCCATGCTACTAACAAATTATTCATTGAAATGGTTAATTATCTTTGGTTGACTTTTACTTCTTTGTTCTTGTTAAGTATATATTTGCAGTTGTAATTAAATACTGTTTTATTTAACATTAAAGTTTTGAGTTATACTTAATTATTCACAGCCACCATTTTTCTTTCCCACCTCGGTGAATTTAGTTGATGTGTTCATGGTATACACACATAAACTGCACTTTTAATATCTTCGACTTGCCTGAGGGGTATAAAGTGTCCATTTTCACACATAACTGTTACTGACCACCTGATCATTCCATAAAATTTAATTAATACATATATATATATATATATATATATATATATATATATATATATATATATATGAAAAATTTATTTCAGTTGAGCTCTCTGGGGAGGAAGTGTGAGTTTGTAAACAGTGACTATTATGGCTAATAATGCAAGACTCTTTAGTAAATTGAATTGAGTCCTCTCAGTCACTGTATGTTTATCTAAAAATAAATATACTTAAATTCACCTTCATCCCTGCTGTGTGGTAGAATCAATGACTTAGTGGTAGAATCTAGAGGCAACTGAACGTCTAGCCACACTGATGAGCTGTGATACAGCGAAATAGTCTGTCTGTGGATGATAATATATATATATATATATATATATATATATATATATATATATATATATATATACAATATATATTTTTGAAACAAGAATTCATTTAGCTTTTTTATTTATATATATATATATATTTTAATTATTAATATCTATTTATATATTTATTTTATTAGTTATCACTATTTTGCAAAACTTTATAAAATATAGAAATATACATATAACTAATATTTTTAATATCTGTCTATATCCCTGAGATGAGGTATTATGCCTATTTGCTTTATTAAAGACATTGGTTAGATCCAGTGACTAGACCCAGAGAGTAGTGAGTTCAAATCCAGACCATAGCAGTGGTGAACAAAAAAAAATCTTGGAGAGTTGAGTTTAAGTGGAATAACTGAGACATCTGGAAGAGGCATTGCACATGAAACTAGAATAATCTACCCTGGTGGATGAAATAAAGGTTTCGGATCAAAATTCCAATCAACTGAAGAAGGCCAGAGCCTACAACAGATGAAATGTTTTGAATATAGCAATGAAGATGAAGATAACAGTCTGAATAATGTAAATAATTTTGTATTTTTAAGTTGAATTTTCCGCATAAAAGAATCTATTTTGATCATAATTTTACAATTTTCAAATATTTTATTTAATAAAGTAAAAGCAGTAAGTGTTATTTATTTACAAAATAAATAACACTTTTGTATACACTACATTAATTTTACTAAGTAAATTTTTGAATTTGTCTGCTATGAATTTTTTTATTGTAGTTAAGTGGAAGGAAACTAGACATTTTTTTCCCTATTTTTGCTTTTTAAATTTTTTTTTAAATCACAGTAGTAGAAAAGTAAACTAATTACAGTTTAACTTAATAGTTACAATACTGCAGTGTATTTTGTCTGCAAGAATTCTTCCAGACATATTTGGTTGAATAATATCAACAAGTTCTATTTATCCAAATTTTTATTAACTTTTTTCAAATTCCTGAATTAGTTGTTTTATATAATTGGTAAATTTACCAAAGTTCATTTTTGACCAAAGCACTTTCAAATGTTGCTCCACTTCTTTTCAAGCATTTCATTTTTTGATAAATTTACAAAAGTTCATATTTATTTTTTGTTTTTATCCCAGTTAATTTCAAAGGATATTGAATTTCTGGCAAAAAAGTAAGTATTCATCTAGACTGGCATCTCGCTCTCACACTTTCACCATTGAAACTGTTAAATGCAGCCGTCTTTTCTACTCCAATAGCTTCATGTCTTACACCTCTCGCCAGTGGAACTCCCTCCCCTTTTCTTGTTTTCCTGATAGCTATAATCTCCAACTATTCAAATGTAATGTCAATTGGCATCTCCAGATGCCTTGATCTATCCCCTATCCTTCTCTTCATCCTCCTATTTGCTCTCGCTCCAACTCTCTGTAACCCCTTGCGTGCTAGTGGCTTCACACCTTGCTTGAAGTGAAACGCTTAAAAAAAAATAAATATATGTTGGTTTGATGGCCATAACATTATCAAGACATGTTACACTAAATTTGTTGGATGCAAGTTCTACTGCACAATATTTAAAAACACATTCCTGTAATTCTCCTCTGTAAAACAAGTCCAAGATATATAGACTGATTGCGAAAGGAACTGATAAAATTTTTCACAGATCATGAGCTAAATATCACTAATACCATCAATGCTAAAATGATCAACATTTTTTATGTGA